ATTACGTCATCTATAAATAATTACGAAAAACTGCATAACTAAAATGACGTAAACAATCATTGCTTTTTTACTAACAAAAATAGTTTAAAGCAACTGTTGAACTGTCTAAGTGACAATGTATAAATGGAAATGGCAGTAGATAAATATTGCTACTGGTTTATGCGTTTCAATTATTCGTTATCATGCAGGGCATATGAAATTKCTAACTATTTATAATATACTTATGTAATTTGTAAATGCTTAATCTGAGAGTACCTATTTACATTTTACTTAAAATAAATACAAAAAACTATGAAAATCTATACGGGGACTCGTACATTTTTAGTTTCTAATTTTACACTGCGTTAACAATATTGTTAACACAATATCAGCAAAATACATCGGGAAACTTCAACGGACAAGGATACAAATCCAAGGCTTATATTGTTACATTAACTATTAAAAATATTTAGTCTTAATTACTTTTTTTAATCGATCAATATCCAAAAAAATATTATTTAAGATCTTGTTTAGACGATGTGTATATTATTATTAGTAACTACTAGAGTACGTTTGCTGGTTATTATGCATCAAAACCGACTATTATTGTAAATTAATTTTGAAAAATGAAGTGAATTTTTTCGTGAAAGTTCAAAACGAATTAGGAAAAAGAAAATAATATAAAAAAGTTCTACTTTAAATAATTTTGTTTACGCTGTTTTTAAGGAAAATAATAATTTTTTCCCGCTCGTTAACGAAGCGAATGGATATTTTTGTTCGGTTTTTAATATTCTTAATTGACTTAAAGTATAATTGTACAAACAGATTTTTTTTATTAAGTTCATTCATCCAATCATCTGAATTGATTACATCAGTGCGAACCATTGATACAATTATTTATAATAAATCCATTTAGAGTTTAGACAATGGTATTATACATTATAAATACTATTTATTATACGGGCACCACTTATATTGTATTCGAACTTTTCTTTTAAAATTTTTGTATCTTTTGTTGTTATTTCTCGCTATAATTTGTATACATATTGTGTATATTATTATTAAACTAATAGTGGGATTTTAAGTGTAGGTTTATGTTGTTGTCRTTATCATTATCATTATTATTATTATTAAAACCGTCATTATCATAATTATTATAATTTCCTGCATATACGATAAAATATCTCATACTTGAAAAATACGTGACGTAAAAAACGGGAAAATAGTAAAAGCGCACGTATAAGTTGCGTATACTACATAATATCCTCGGGGTAAATGATGCGCTCATTTYCACTGTTGCCATTTTCTTTTGACGATTGCTTGATTGCGGTAGTTATACGCTAGAAAAAAATACATTGCCCGAGATATTTACGTGTAACGTGTACTAATTTGCAGATGCCATATCATTATTATTATTATTATCATCATCATCAGCGTCGTCATCGTTGTTACTATAGGTATATTATAATGTTATATTGTCTGTTTTTCGTGCTAAAATGCTAATATCATAGTCCCCGTAGGGTAAAAAAGAGTTCTAGACATACGAACGAAGTATGATATATGTGAGATAGGTTAGGTTATATATATAATATATATATCCTCGTACTTTGCATCATTGCCCGCACGGTGTTTCACGACGTCGTTTTAACTTTTTCTTAGAGCTACAGTGTGGAAATTGGGTTTTTGTAAGTAATTCAGGATGGCGAAAACATCGCGATTCATCCTATATACGCATAGGTGGCACATATTATAAGCCTCGCAGAGATTAAGCACACATCTCGTTATTATTTCCTCTCCAACTTTATCGACACGCAAAACACACTTGTTTGAAATTTTAAAATGATACAAGAATTTAAAGATCCCCCGTTTTCTCAGTATGGAATATTATCTTGATAGAAATGGGATTTTTGTTTTTAACTTTTCTTTTCCCATAATTGTGAACGTCAAATGCAATACTGTTCGATATTTTTGTATTTAGARCAAAACTTCTCAACAAATTTATTAACAACATTTTCGACTTGTTATCAAACAGTTAAAATTATTAGAATTTCTAATTCCTGTGAGACACAAACATGTTTTACTAAAAGGAAAAATATTATCCAAAACCATTGTATGGTATTTTCATCTCTTTTTACATTTTATTAAATTAAATTTCTGAAGATGATCAGAATAATGTTATGCTCTCCATGGCCACTCTTGTGTGTGATATATTTTATATTAATTATGTTAATATTATTCAATTAAAATTAAAGTAGTGCTTATGGCCTTAAAATCTTGTACACATAGTAAATAATTTGACTTCATGTAGATTAACCAGTAATGAAAAACAATATTAATTTAAATCAAAATGTATACAGTAGTTT